ACTCCAACGTAGTGTCTCCGTTGCAGCAGCAGCAGCAGCAGCAGCAACAGCAGCGACGGCAGTAGTTTCTCTGCAAGCTCGAGACACGCGACAAGCAACAGATTGTTAAGGCTTTGTCGGAGGAACCTTGAGTCCGTGCGCGTGACAACAATAACGTTTCATTGACGCCGTGTCAATTGAATGACTAACTCCTCGCGCACGAACCAAGGAGTTTAAGGGAGCTTAACCGGTTGATACGAGAAGTAGTCGAGTACATTATTGCTTGCAATTCATTTTCCGAGCGTGCACTTCCATATCATGCGACAGCTTTGATTAATGAGTCGAGCTCTGATGCATTGTGTTGTCGTAGTCACATGGTGGCGGCAGTCACGCACATTTCTTGTCATTTCGCAGTAGACGACGACGACGCCGACAAATACTATAAAATATCACACTGGTTCCCGCCGCTAGATTGGGATAGTCAAGCTCTCTCATCTAGTGCCAAGAAAGCTCGGCGCAAGCGAGTCAACTCGTCGGGGCAAAGAAGGAATAATCTGCAACTGCGGAATACTCTCTGTGTGTCGGCTAAGATCGACTGAGAACTGAAAGGGTGTGTGCGCTGAAAAAGACGGCAAAAGAAGCCGAAAGAAGCCGAGAAAGAGAGTGAAGCTGGTCGCAACTGAGAAGGGGCTTAGACTTCCATTTCGTGCATACAAACATAGCTGTAAGCTCCACAATTTATCTTCGTTTTAGCGTGGATTATCTGCAACTATACGGCAAAGCTAGAGAGTAGTAGCACACTGCACCGGAGTTGCCCGTTTAAGTAATCGCTGAGCCGTCCGGACATCATAATACGAAAGGCCAAAACTCTCTCTCTCTCTCTCTCTCTCTCTCTCCCCATTTATATATCAATATCATGCTAACAGTCACAGTACGAGTTACGCCCTGGTCAAAATTTACCATAATTCACTGACATAAGGACTTGGGATTTTAGAGCTTAAAATTTTTTCATTTTGAGTTCGAGTAACATTTTCAATTAATGAAAGTGAAGTCGTCGACGAAGGTTTTTTTTTCAAAATTTAAAATGATATAATTTTAGGATGTACCAAGTGTAAACATTTTTTTGAAGGCTCCGACTGTCGAGCGCTTTCGACAAAAAAAGAAGACTTTGACAGAGAAAAAACGGTAATAAAATAGAGCGAAAAAAAAGAGAAGAAAGAGAGCGCATGAGAAAGAAGCACGAGGATAGGGATGCTCGATTGGAAATTAGCTTTTTTCCTCTTTAAAGCTTTCTATGTAAGTTAGTGAGTTACTCGTACAAGTGTACGCGCCAGGGCGAGGGATTTAACGTCGATTTTTTTGCTACGATTTATGCAGCAATTTTTTAGTGTCAAGTATAGGGAAAGAGAGAGAGAGAGAAAGACTTTTCTTTCTGCAGATCAAAGTGTGCGTTACAGCACTCTTATTCTCCGGCTTCGGTAATATATAAACTTGGTTTTAAAGTAAAACGGCTTAGTTATCAGTACAAATGACATTTAATTGAAAGCTTACGTCCTACTCTTAACAGATGTACGAGTAAGAATTACACCCGTATTTCATGAAAATCTCAAGTTCCTAGATTATTCTTGTCTTTACTAATAAGTTTAACAATTACTTCAATTGTTTGGATCAATGAGATAATTTAAAATTTTAATTCTTATACAAGAATGATTGTCTGAACCTGAAGAATTTTATGACGGCTTCTGATAGGGTACTAGAGTGAGACATACAGACGGACGATACTAAAATTTGAAAAGAGATTGATTAGTTCGAAAAAATAATCAAATTTATTTGAGGGCTTTAAAATTATGATGTATTGAGGAAAATATTAAACGCTTTCTCATTTGCTTTTGTAAAATGAACTTCACTTGAATCAATCGGTCAAAAACCCGATTATAGTCTCGTCTTTTCACTCGATTTCTTCAGTTGATATTCGACGGTATTGAATTTATTACCAGCAGAAGTTGGGTTTTGTTCTTCTTATGCGGACAAATACGCTTCACTTCTTGGCTTCGGCGCCTCTGGTGCCGATGAAACTTGCAAGATTCCCGCGCACTTTCGTTTAAGTAGCTTAAATTTTAAACCACTTGATCGTGAGTTAGTAAAGAGTTGTTAATAATGCACCATGCAGTACTATGTGAACAGTGAAGCTAATACACATACACTCGCACACAAGGAAGAGAAGAGAGAGGGAGAGAGGGAGTGCGCACACACGAAAGCAAGGCTTCGATAAGTGCTAATCACCCAAGTTCCGATGGTAGCTGCTTTTTTGGCTTGACGTCTCATAGCTTAGTTTAACAAAGTTCACATTTGCTTTCGAAACACACACACATAGATATACGCACACACAACGCGCGCGCGCGCTGCGCTGCGCAGCTAGCAGCAGCACTCCACTGCGCAGCTAGCAGCAGCACTCCACTGCGGCGAAGGTGTTTGCATAATGAGCATGACGATCCACGCGCCTACAGCTTGTCAGAATTAGAATTTTAACCAATTCGTGTCGAGCGCGCGAATGGAGGAGGTTGCATTATTTGCTATAAAGTAGAAATTAACTCTTCTCTTCAGGCAGGATCTTTCAAGTTGGCTCATTTTTTTCCCTCAGAGTTTCGCATTAGTTATAGCAGCATATCTGAATAGTTTCCGAATTCGCACGCATTACTTATTTCAACTCTAAATTTCGAACAACCAGGCAACTCCTTTTAATTAAATCAGTCCAAGTCAAAACTAAGTGTACGCGCCGCACACCGAATCAAACTGAACGCTCATAGCGTGTTAATACAGAGGCTGAATTGAATGCTAAGATGACAAAATGCAATAGTAAAACGGTTAGCGAATGGCACAGAGCGAGAGAGTATACAGTAGCGCCAAGGCTTTACCAAAAGCAGCAGCGCATGCGGCAAACTCGAGAAGGGGATTGATACGTCATTGAATGGATGAGGTGGTAGTTCGAGTCGTTTTACGCCGTGGCTCATCTAGAATTCCATTGGTCGAAAGGCATGTACGAAATGCCATAGCACTCTAAATCAGTTCCGAGGACGAGAAAGTGATAGAGATATATAAAGCAGCCAGTAGATAGAGAGATTCCAGCCAACTTCCTGTCTTTGCGAACTGGTCACTAGAGCCAACTACGCTTTTTCTTTACAGACGGTAAATACGGAGCGGTGCCGTGGTGTACGGGCCCACGAGTCTATCCATAACTCGGGGTGCGTGCGAGGTAGCTCGAACACGACGATGCCCCCCAGTCAGCCTCCGACTTCGAGTTAGTTCGATGACAAAGTTCAGGAAATGGAGAGTGGATGATGAAAGACTAGTCCCAAGAACGATATGCGGCAAATCTTGAGGAGTTGTAGTGAAGTTTGCTTTGTGCAGTCAGCACAACTAATCGTAGGTGGTAAACATCAAAGCCCGAATCATTCATTGAGGCGACGCGATAGAGGAGTCGCGTAGCTAAGTAAATTGATTACCACCCAAAAAGAGGGGATGAGCAGAGTCAAGGGAGATCGAGAAAGAGATAGAGAGAGAGAGATGAAGAAGAGGAGAGAGCCTCGATGCTAGCAATGCTGCGACAGGTGATTACCTTATCTAGCGGAACTCGTGTCGAGTGCTTTCTCTCATTGGAAGCGCTTATACGCTTCTGACAATTCGTGCAGGTTGCTGCCGCTGCCTCCGCTTGCCTAGGCTGCTTTCTACGAAGCGAGAATGAGCGATAATTGAATTTTACGCCGTCGAGCTTCGCAAACCGTGATTCCGCGTATGCTACTTTCAGAGCGAGTCTGGTGTGCTCGGTCATTTTTTCTGATTTCCACCCTCGATTCCAAATCTATTAACTTTTTCCTTCCATTACTAAATCTCAATCAATTTCTAATGATCTAGCACCACCAATTATTTGATCGTATATATCCCAGTCATTACTTGTAATACTCGATGAAAGCAATATCATATAGCTTTGAGTGTTACAATCAATACGAAGTTAACTTCGCTCCTGCCTCGTGAGATACGAAAGCTATTGCAAATTGCTTCAACGCAACTGCATAATATGCACTTTTCCATCTTGTCATAATATCGATATGAAATAAATTAATTTGGCTTACTTGAAAAATATGAGCGGTCGATGATTTTGGGTTCAAATTTCATGAATCTAATTCGAATCTTGGAAGGAATTTTAATTTAAACATGAAATATTATTCCATCTTGCACGCTCAAATCTTTTAAAGTTATGTCGAACAGCAACAGTCTTCGTTTAAGTAAACAATTTTTTCCCTTACTTATCTCCTAAAGTTGCATTTTAAAAGTTAAACATGCATCGAAATTTGACTCTGCGGCTACGATGAAATTTTTTGTTCAAATATTCATCGCGTTTTAAAAAATGCAACGTACAATTTTTTTGAACTTATTATAGAAATCATGCACGTGATACGGAAATTTATCGATAATTTTTTGGAATAGAGACGACGAAGAATATTATCTCCGAGTAAAAAAAGAGAACCTTATTCAGCTCGTTTTTCTCTACATAACGTATGCATTCCTCAAAAATAGCCAGGGGCTTGATTGATGTTAACTCATACGTTATTCTATAGACTGCGGGGACACTTGAGGAGTATGCTCTTCGACAGGGTCAACTTATCTAAAAAGCTTTCCTCTTGGCGTCGAAAGCAAAATATTGGATACGGAAGATTCTCAGCAACGAAACTATTATGCTTTATTAAAATGCATAATATTTCAAACTAACACTTGATCCTACTTTTGCTTTTATTCATAAATATTCATAGTGTATACAGCTTGATTTACTTAGAATCGTACATTACGTTTTTAATTTAAGGGTGTAATTACAAAATTATTCTCCTCTCTTACGAAAAAATATATCTTGAAGGTAAAAGATAGCAATTGTGATTAACTAAAAGTAATTATTTTGACACAATTGAGTTTAAAAGAATATCGAAACTATACAGGGTTACTTTATGGATTATTGAATAGGCACTTACGTAATTATAGAACTGTTCCTTTTGCATTCTTGGTATGTTTTTTGATGAGTTCTTTTTTAGATTTATTCTCAATTACTGGAAAGTCTCCAACTGGAAATACAAAAAAATTGTTTTCATGAAATAAATCTACAAAGATTTTTATTCAATTACACTATTGTGTATTTGACAAAGTTAAACTCTTTTAATTTAGGAAATACTTAAGCGTGCGTAACGTAAGGAACTATATTGAAATTGAATATTTATAAACAAAAACATGTGAAATTTTTGTCAACTTTAAATAGTATACGTAGTGTCTTCAACACTGGTGCCTCATTAATTTCTGACTTCTTTAGTTCAATTGAAACGCTTTTTAAACCAATTCATCAATATTCAAAAAATAAAACAAATAAATGTGCTTGTAAGTTCGAATAACTACCCTAAATTCTGTAACATCAAAACGGTCGGACTTTAAAGAGGAAATATAAACTCCATTTATTTAGTTTCTTACAGAAGTGCAATGCAAAATTCTGCACATGCGAGCAGAGTTACACGAATTTGTGGTCGCCAGATAAACAGAGTTACCAACCACAGACATCGCGTAGCGAAGCTACCGCAGCCAGTATCCGCACTAACTATATCCCCAAAAGGTTCCACAGAAGAAACTCAAAGTACTTAGTAGCAGCTTTTTGTTTAACAGAAAAATGATCATGCATTTATATGATTACATAACTAGCATTTTTTCAATCGAACATGCCCGTGCATCAATGGATATTGTACCAAAAAATGGATAGTGTACCAAATAAAAAGAAGTATGAAGTAACGATTTGAAGACTTTTGAGGAAAATGAAGGGATAGTTAATTAGAAATTTTCTTTGCATCAAAATAAATGATCGATAATCAGTTTCAATTTTTTATAATTAAAATTTATTAACTAAGTCAGCATTAGAGCAAAACAAGTCTGGGAATAATAAAAATTAACAGTTAACGGGGATTTTTTTCAACGAATCTATCAATAAAAATCATTGAACCATTTTCAAAATTCTATCCAATAAATTTATTGTAACACGGTCTAATATTTCCAAGAGTTATTAACTTAGAAAACAAGTCAAAAGCAATTTTAAGTTAGGCTGGTAAAATTTCAAATAATATTGAGTTTACATTTACAAGCGCGAACATTTATAGATCATGGAACTACTCTCAAATCTGAATAAAACATTCTTAATACGTTGAAACGGTAGCGAATTGACGACATGGAAGAAATAACCATCTCGTATAATGCGAATGAACTCATAAAGACGGCCACTCTTACTCAGATTAATAATGATTTGCGATAGGGGTCGTTTTACTGACTATTCTTTTTATAGCCACTCGGGTTAGTAGTACGTATTTTATTTAAAATCTCTAGCTATGATGTTAGGTATGTTATTGTAAACTCTTAAACAACTTTTGAATTTCACGAATGCTACTGAATGACGATAATATTTTAAATTCTTCTTTATTCATACGCGACAATCAGCTTTTCGTTTATCGAAAACAAAGCGGTATCTGAAATAACGAATCTATATGATAAATGCTTATTTTTAGTGTTTTGTAACTTTAAACTAAAATATAAATAATAACACAATAATGAAAATCAAAAATAAAATGCAAGTAAAAAGCTATTGAGAGAAACAAACAGCAAGATTGTACACTATCGCACGCGCGCGATTATATACATATGAAAGCGCACGATTCTAGAAATACTGTATTTATATTTGTTTTCACAATCATACTCGACAGTTTTAAAAAGCGTTAAAATAAAAATGGTACTTGTACTTTTTCTTTCTGCGTTATACTTATAATTTTGACGCAGAAAAAGTTATATGCCATCACTCGATTTTTATCGTTGTTAGCAAAAAATTGAAAATATTCACTGGTGTTCTATTCCAAAAGTAAGATAATATTTTAGCCAGGTTTACTTTTTAAACCGGCAATGATAATGCAAATGTCTAGTTGCGTATAGCACTCGAATAATAAAAAATTGAAATCATATCTTTCTGTTTTGAAGAGTGTTTGAAGTGTGTTATACAAGTCTAGAAAAGCTGCTCAAACAAGTTGATTTTTCTAACATGAAAAATGTGTAACAAAAAATGACAAAGGAAAATACCTCACAATATTGCAAGTCTGTGCTGTTGTACGTGCACAGAATATATTGCTTTTTTGGGACAGCTAGCCAAAGTCCTTTCATATGAAATCTTTCATATATGATGTGTCTTTGTACCAACACTTTAAAGTTTTGATTGTTTTTCAAATTATTTCTATCACGGGTGTATAAATATGAGACTTCGAAAAGCACAAAGTTTGTTTAAATAGATTGTTTGTTCTGCTATTTTTGTTGAATAAAATCAACATGAGAATATCATAAGACAACATTTGACTCACTCTTGTCTATTGAACTTCATACTGTAAAAAAGTTTTTAAATTATTAGGTAAAAAATAAATAAACTAAAAGACATTTTTTTTGTATTTTCTAATGTCAGCTTATCCCTATTATTATAAATCAAGCAATTCATTTGCTTAAATGTTTTTCAGATTTTTTCTAAATGCATCATTTATTTTACGGAAATGTGATTTGCCTCATTTTTACAGAGTTCAAATAAAGCAATAAATTATACTTGTAGAGAAATGCTCCGTTTTTCATATTTTTCAAATTTAATTCATCGACTGCGTGAAATTTTTTTCTATAAAATGAAATTGAGCGCGTGTACGCATAGACATCGATAAACGGAGCATCACTATTGACATCGCTTTACGAAACTGATGTTTGACCTAGTACGGAGCATCAATAAACTCGACAGGCATACAGGTTGAATTCAATAACATGTTATGTTCGCTGATCGTTATAAGCGCCTTTCCTATGCGGAGTTAGAGAGACAGAAAGAGAGAGAGAGAGAGAGAGAGAGAGAGAGAGAGAGAGAGAGAGAGAGAGACTGAACATAGCACATGGGATAACTTGAGATATAAGGTAGAGAATCCTATGACATGGAGGCTTTTTAAATATACCCGCGATTGACAGTTAAGGGTAAGTTTGATTCAATAACTACTTACGATGACAAACTAATATTTTAACGATTAAGGCATGACACATTTCATAAGATTTCTTCTTTCTTCCGTTAACTTAAACAATATTTATCCAACTTTAGTTTTAAATCAACTAAATTATTTGTTGCTATGAATAAATGTTCTTCGTTTGCCGAAATTCATCGCAAGCATAAATCAAATGCAACGATGGATCATGCAATTAGTTTTGATAAATATAGCATAAAGAACAGCGGAAAATCTCGTAGCGAGCATTTTCGCTCACTCAATAAAGTTTCATATTACGGGTGACGATGCAATCTAGCAGAAAGTTTTGGTATAAGCTTACACGGAGACTGGACACGTAGGTATACTTCCTCGAGCGTAATATTATTTATACACCAAATCCCACATGGACATTTCGGCGAGTAAATAGGTAGAAAATGAGCTAGACGCCACAGTCATCGTCACCCAGGAATTGCCAATTATTTATCCCTGGTAGAGGCATCAGCAACAACCCTCGAGAATATCTCCTTCATCCATTCGCTTGGAACAAGCGACTAGACATGATACACATATGTTCTAGGCAGTCCCGGCTAAACGAAATAGAGGACTTTCTCTGGAGTTGCAGATAATTGCAAACTTAGCGCACTTGTTGAGAAAATTGCTTTAATTTATAAAAAGAAAAACCTTGAAGAAAAATTGCTACGAAAACTTTGTGGCAATTTCAGTAAAAATGTAGTTTTCTAAAAAAAAGTAATTGGAAATTTTTTTCGAAATTTCATGCTCCTAACAAAATATGTCATTAAATGTACTTAAAAAAAAAAACATGTATTATAATTATATTTACAATAAGTGAACAAGAAAATTGTAGCAATGTATAAAAGAGTAGTGTTATACGATCTCCAAGTTATTCAAGGCGCTGTTAGTATTCTACTTTAGTCTTATATAAGCTACCCATATTACAGTTGATGTAGGGTATGAAATTTTACACTGCAATGTTAATTTGATTTCGAGGTTTAAGGCTAAAGCCATTTATTAATTTTTCAATCGAAAGAGCAGTAAGTAGTGAATGGAAAAATGGTTGATCATGCAATATTGGCTAATGTATAATCATGTTTTAAGCATCATAGTATGGGTTTGGGTCATGACCCAGGATGACCCTACTCCATAGGGTTAAACGTACATACATACATTAGTTAGTTAGAATTTAATTAATGTCGAACAGAATTAACATCATAGGAAAATAAGATTGAAATATTTAGCATGTAATATAAATGTTTTCACTTCAGTACATATCAAATGGATCGTAACGTTATGATATAATTCATAAAATAATCCTCACGAATGCATGAGTCGCTGAAAGATGCTTTGACTGAGTTGAATATTCGTTAATCGTTGCGAACTACTTTTTTTGAAAATGATTTCTTGCATCTCTTGCTAATACATAATATTTTAGCATTATGTATGGTCTAATACGAGAGTGACCAATATTTTAAAAACAAACAACGCATTTTTTAAAGAATTTTTTATAGAATAGAGAAACTTCGAGATTACAACACGAAGTTAACTACAGGGATAACCCCTAACGCGAAAAAACTAGTTTTCACCTGAAACAAAAGTTTGCAGTATTCACGAGAGATACAGTGTGTATATAGAGCACAAAAGGATATTTCATATCATCTATAAAGACACGGATAGAAAGTGCAAGAGGAAAGCAAGAAAAAACCCGACACGGCTAGTTGTTAACACACGTACGAAGGTGCGTCAATAACTAGAAAGAACAGAGAGAAAAACAGCAAAAAAAAGGCATCGGCTGAGATTTCCCCTAACGCACTCCACCAACTGAACAAAAGTTAAATCGGAGTAGGTATAGTAGACTACTAGCGCGGACCACGAGAGTAACTTCTTCGCAGGATTCAATTTGAATTTACTCGTGGAGTGTAAAAAAGTGCGCACTACTGTTCAGAATGTTAATTAAAAGGCTGATCGCTTTAAATTCATTTTCGCACTGACTCACTAAAACTTTACTCGAAGATTAAATGAACCGTTCG